CAACATAGTCCTCAAAAGAATAAAGAAGAGGACTATCAATTTCCGCATGTGCCTCGGAACGAAGGGCGGTCACCCGCGAAGTGACCGGTTTCAAAGGCGTCGAGAGTGTCGACGAGTCACTCCCGGCGGTGCAGCTGTTGCGCTGGGCCTGGGGCTAGATGTGGTGTTTGTCTTCGTCTTGCCGCGTCCTCGGCCTTTGCCGCGGCCTCCTTCCCGGGCGGCTGCGAGTCTGTCCCCTTCATTGGTAGACACAACCTCGCTAGTTTGGTCGTTTGGCGTTGCCGCCGCGACCACGATCACTTTCGATTGATGTTGATCTCTGCCCAGGCCTGGCGCAAACGAACGTGGGAGATTCTTGGCCTCCTTGTTCGTGACAATAATCTGCGCGGCCTTCTCAAAAAGTTCTGCCGGTGTCGTTAGGGTGTCCTCGACGTGAGTCAAGGCATTCCCCAACCCCGGACACGACCTCGAGATGAAGATGTGTTTGATGGCCTTGAAGCCCATTTGGATGTCTGGGACGGATGTCAAGCGTTGGTACTCGGCAATCCAGTCGACACTCGGCAGCGTGCCTTGTCCGAAAACCATCAGCTTGTCCATCGCCTTGATCTCCGACGACTCTACTTGGAACCGCTTATGCCACGCTGCCTTCGGATCATCCCAGCTGATCTTGGTATGCAAGTCGGCAGCTACCACTCCGTACTTGGACAAGAGATTGTCCAACCATGCTTGTCACGCACCCCCCGACCGGGAGTATAAGTAAGCGTGGTGCTTGTGTTCTTCGATGTAGTGTAGCTGCAACATGAGCGCGAACTTGCGGAACCATGGAATCGGATCTGACTTCCTCGAGTCGCAGAAGATCTCCTGCCCATCGAACTTTGGAGCAGTCTCGCGCGGTTCCAAGCTCGAGTGGTTGGCGGCAGTACAGATCCGCTGCTCCAACTGTTGCATTGCGGTTTACTGTAACTGCACGCCGCCCTTGAGGGAGCCGACATCAATCTCCAATGCGTCGAGGCGATCGGAGGTGTTGGAAGAGCTGGCATTGGGGGCGGCGACGGGTCGCTGCTACAGCTGCCCGAGGCGGCCGTGGACTTGAGTTAGCGCGTCGTCGAGGCTGTGGATGTCCTCCTGCTGTGTAATTCATGTTGCCGGGAGGTCCAAGAGATGGGAGAGGAGTAGAGCGATCTTGTTTTCACTCTCTTCCATCTTGCCATTTCCGGCCTCGGCCCGCCAATCCGCTGCCATTGTGAGCAAAGCTTGCTCTCCGCTGAATATCTTCTCACGATGTTGAACTCGTTCTTCATCGGCAGCCTTCGCTGCTGCCTCGTCGTGCTGGCGCTGCTGCTCAATCGCCAGCAGACGTGCCTTCTCGGCGTCCTCTGCCTTCTTCTTTGCTGCCGCTGCTACTGCATTCGACCGTTGCTTAGCTTCGGTAATCAGAAGCAGCATCCGGGCCTGATAGGCCTCGTCCGTTTCCCCGGACTTCTGGTCCATGACGGCTGTTTGTGAGCGCGTGAGCATGGACCAGGCTGGGGGCCTGCTGACGTGGTATTCCCTGCTGCTGACGTGGCACTGCTGTCGGCTGATGTGGCCTGCTGATGTGTCCTGCTGATGTGGTCCGCTGACGTGGTCTGCTGACGTGGTCTGCTGATGTGGTTTGCTGACGTGGCAACTCACCAGTGCCGCTGCAGGGGGTACCCGGAGACAGATAGAGAAGGTAAGACCAGAGGTGGCAACAACATAGGTGGGTAGGGGTGGGTGGGATAATCGCCCAGATAACGCCCAGATAAGGAGGCGCTAATCAAAAAAGAAAAGTTTGAACTTTGCGAAAGAAATTTTGAGAAAACTAAAAATCCCGAGTTTTGCAAGTTCAGTAGGTCTCCCAACTTCCCTTGGAAGTGCTAAAGTATCAATGAGAAAAAAATTTCAACTTCAGACTGCCAATGATTATCAGGTAGTGAAAATCATAGAACTGCGAAAAGAAAAAAAATTCCGAAAAGAAATAACAAGTATTCGGATTTACTCAGATGAGAGTATTCACAGTTTGGAAAATGGTACTGCAAGAGGGATTTCCAGTACCGTTTTCTGAAAAATGACTTTCGAAAAAAAAAATTCCGAATTTCCAAATAACGGGAAATTGCAAAAGGAGATCGGAATTTTCGAGAAAAAGATATTCCGGATTTCCAACAACGGAATTTCGGATTTTCAGAAGAAAACAAAAACGAAAATTTCAGATGTTGCGCTATTGCGATTTTCCACAACAGAAATAGCGAGAAAACGAAATCCAAGAAAAAAAAAAATTTTGATTTTTAGCAGTGAGGTCAAAATCGTGATTTTGGGGTCTAACTGGTGTGCTCTAATCAATCAATCAAAACTAATCAGCTACCTAGTTCCCGCACACGTGTCAGATCAGGTTGTCCTCATTCACGTGCGGTGCTCCGATACCAACTGTTACATGCCCAGTTGGGCGATGTACATATTAACCGAGGATCCGCAATGTGATAAAAAGGACTGAATGGACAATGCAGTGCAAGTGGAATCTCACCAAGCAATGTGTATTCCGATACATACAAAATGGTGCTTTATAGCGCAGGGAAGACTTTAGGTACAAGTTCTGACCTGACCGGGACTGACCTCTTTCACGTAGACAAGGTAGCGAAGCAGAATGCTAGAATACTAACGACTAGCAGAATGCTAGAATACTAACGACTAGCCCAATCAATGTTTCAACGCAGACCAAACATGCATCATGCTCATCACAAGGTGTGAAGGGGCCTGGCACTGTACCCAGGAAAGAGGCGCCAGGTCCAGACATACACAGACGAAGAGGAGGGGATCAGACGAAGAAGAGGGAGGGGGAGATGGTAAAGTCGTCAACACCAAGTCTTGTCACAAGTCCCAAGTAATCCTTCTTCAAAATGTCTGAAGTCCAATGTCGAGTCTGGATCCAAATGTCACCAAGCTCTCTCTCTCTCTCTTTCTCTCTCTCTCTCTTGTAGTCTGCTGATGCAGTGAAGTCAGATAGTGAGAGGGTGAGAAGGAGATGGTGGACTGAGAAGAGGAAGAAGAAGAACTCTCTCTCTCATATGCCAGGTACTAACCTGTGAAGATGGCGCTGTGCTGCAGGTACCTCGAAGACGAAGCTGGAGCAATGGCACTGCAGGTAAGTCCCTCTGGCCTCCGCCCAATCTCTCTCCCTATAGTAGTACTCTAGCTATGGCGCCCAGCGCTGAAGACTACAGCTAACGCTACTAGCGCCCAGTGCTGAAGACTACTGCTAACGCTACTACTACTCCTGCAGTGCTGCTGCCGAATCCTGAAGACTACTGACTGCCTCCTGCCTACCCCTGAAGTGCATGGGAAGTCCCTATGTACTACCTCGGCCTGCCTCCTGACTGCCTCCGACTGCCTGCAGTTGCAGGGCGGGGAGTCCAGGAGGCTGCTCTTGCCAATTCCAAACTGAGCCAGGGTCTGGCGCTGCAGCTGTCATGGGAACAGGCCAAAAAAAGCCTGTTCCAAAAACCCTGGTTTGGTGCCTGAGTTTCAGGGCAGGTCGGTCTGATGAAAGACTGAAAATGACCCTTCGTTTCAGGCTAAAAAGGCTACTGCCATTTTTAGTCTGAAACGACACAGGGTCTGTAGGCCCCTGTTTTTCAGGCTTTCGAGCTGCACAGACACGGGGCCTGTACGCCCTGGTTTTCAGGCTTTTAGCCTGAATTTCAGGCTTTCAGCCTGAGGGACGCAGGGCCTGGAAAATGGCCCTCGTGTGCAGGCGCAGCATGTAACACAGGCAGTGAATATCAAATAAAGCACGAGCTGGCCGAATATATACTCAATATTCGAATTCAGGTCTGTGTTTCAGCAGTTATGGGTTGCTCACGTAGCTAGGGCCTGTTGGTCTCTGCACGTGACTCTTAGGGCTTGGCTGCACTACTCACGAAATGTGCAAAATTAGAATGAATCTTCTGCAGAACGTGGAATAATACGCCACCATATGTTTTGTCTTTTGTGCATTTGGTGAGTAAAGGCCCTTAGGGCCACTGCACGTATTCCTAAGAAAAGAAAAACTAGAAAAGAAAAGAAAAGCGAGAAAACAGAGAAATGGTGACCCATAACCGACATGCACAGACCTGAATTCGAATCCAGACTATATATTCTCTGCCCACCCTCAGGGAGTACAAGTTTGAAGTGTATCTCTGCTTGACGCCGGGTCGTGGCTAATATGCTGTAGGGATCCTTCGGAAAAGAGGCTGGACACTTGTTCGTGCTTGCATGTGCGTGCGGCACCCCGCGCATGAGATGCGCCGCAAGTATGATTTGAACACCTCTCTCTCTCTCTCTCTCTCTCTCTCTCTCTCTCACACACA